AAGGGTCAACATCTTCATAAAATCACCTTGGTTTTAATTGTTACTATTGTTTCTTTCTACTTGCTGTTGGCTCTTATTGTTAATGCTGGTTTTAAAATGAACAGTAAAATGCATAGAGTATAAATTATAAATGAACAGTTTCAATGAGGCCGTTGATTGCAATGACTGAAATCTAATTAAGCAGTTTAAGATCTAAGTGATATTATTATTAAAGAATTATGTTAACAGAGCATTTGATCAGCCCCTTAATTTGTTTTATGTGAGTTATACTTAGGAGAGAATGTGATTCGAAGTGACAAAAAGATCAGTTACTTCTCTTTCCTCTTTTTTAAGGAAAACTAATACGCTACATTTAAATTGAAATAAACTGATAGAGAAGTCTCAGGGAAACAAAAGCAGTATTTTGGCATCTTTACTTTGGCCTCATCTCAATACTAGAATGGACTACTTTTTTGTTTTGATATGACACTATATGAAAGAATTTTATAATAGGAACAGAAATATGTATGGAGATACATGTAAATTTTTACACAGATATGCTAATTTGTTATGGTGACAAGCTTATTGCCATTAGCTAGTGAAATGGTTGTGTGTCACACTACCTTTTTGCATGTGAAACCACTGTAAACATCTAATTTGCACACATATTTTTCCTTTAAAATATAGTGCAATGTGGTTTTAAACCAATGGGAGTCTTTTGGGATGCACGTTTTATTTAATTTACACGTACAGTTTGTACAAATGTATGAACAGATTGGATTGCTTCCTGTGTGATGCAGCTAACTAGCAATCATGAGGACTGTGCTAAATAAATATATCCCTTATTTTTGGAAATGGGGTCTATGCTTGTGACTCTTTGGTATGGTTCTAATCAACATTTGTACTCCTCACTCTGAATTCCACCAGTCCTGTCCTCCTCAGCTGTCAAATTCTAGCTGAGCATCACCTACAGAGTCAATATACAATTCAGCATATCTGGGCTAATCACATATTACACTTTCTTCTTTGTTGTACACGGATGTTGTCTAGCTTAGATTTCCCTAATTTCACTGTAAATGTGTTTCTGTAAGCAACCTTTCCAGCACCTCAGTGCCTGCTCCCTTTTCCCTGGATGCTGGAGTGCTTTTTTTACAGTTTAACAATGTTTGTGCCCAAAGAATGGGAGTATTCTCCAATCTGCCATAGAAAGTTTGGAAGCATGTTGGTGGGCCCCTAAAGATGAGTATGCAATTGAAGGAACAGAAGAAGATGAAAGAGAAAAGGATTGTTCTAAATACAAGTGAACAACAAGAATTAGAGAAATACTATGTTTTTGTATTGGACTGCTTTGATTTTTACTTTGTAGCCATTTAAGTTTGTTCCTTGTTTACTGTGATAGGAAATGAGGCAGGATTTCAGTCTACTAAAATTTCAGTGTAGTATAACAGTTTGTTTGAAACCAACTGTTATATTTCAGTGTACAGCCTGCCTAGTACCCTGGGAAAATGGACACAATTCCAGGCAGACAATCCTGTTTCCGGGTTATACATGTTGTTCCTTGGTCGCTGCTGCATTTACCCTATTTTGAATGAAAAGACTAGATGACCTCTGTAACAGCATCACCATTACCCTGTCTACCCCTCTCTGCCTCTCTCCCATAGACATACCTGGGATTCTTGAATCAGCTCCTGGAATCCTCTCGATAAACTCCTCTAGTTCTGCTGCTGCCTATGTCCTCCCAGTTTGTGGACATCCAGTCATTTTAATTTAATTGAAATATTGTTTCACGGAGTTACTTGTAGTAGATGGTCCCTGGTACACATGAAGTATTAAGCTTTCAAAACTGAAAAGAGATGGAGGGAGGAAATCGTGGGCAAGACTGAGATACGATGCACTTAAAACACAGAAGGATTGAGGGTGCCAAACACAACAGAGGAAAGAGAAAGTCATGAAACAGAAAATAACACAAAGAAAGGAAGCGTGGCTGGTTGATTCACTCTTATGCTGTTCTATTTGCGTATGTTAAGTGTCTCATGCAATAACCAAACCCTTATGCCTAACTCTCTGCCCTCTTAAATTTGTTGTGCCTATTCTCATATGGTTCATTCTGCATCACTTCATGAAGACAATCTGTAATGAGCCAAAATGTGCAGTATTGTTTTTGAAAACATTCTTCATTTTCTTTTTACGTCTAGAAGGATGGAAAATTAATTTTGCTCTTGAACTGGTTCAGAATCTTCCTCCCACACTGTGGAGCCTGGATGTAGTGTTGGAAGATAGTGTTTTCTGGCTGCAAGCATCAAAGTGAGATCCAAAGGGCAAGCATCTTTAAATATTTAACTACTAATAATCTGGTTCGTAAAACTGACTGGGTGTTTATGGAAGACGGCATTGCTACTTTATGCTATTGATTTAACAGATGCAGTTAATCCTGTATTTTTAGAATATAAAAACGTGCGAAAGTCATTCTGGATAGATAAAAAGAAATACTCAAGTCAGCAAAGTGCTTTTGAATGTTGATGTCTCAGCAGCCTTGCTATCTGTCGTTAGGTTTTTTTTCTTTATATCTTAAATTTAATCAGTACTTTTTTAAGGTTATGTTCAAGTAGCATAAAACATTTTACAAATTTTGTTTGCCTGTGATGTATTTTGTGTTCTCTGAAGGCTCTGTGTCTAATAGGTGATCCAGCTGACAGCATTAGTAACTCCTGATAGACTATGGCTTAAATTTAAAGGTGAAGGACCACTTTTGGTGTTTCAAGTTTTAAGCGTTAAACTAAACATACTTTTAATTTTCACTGGTCAGACCTGAGTTCCTTCCAGAAATCAGGCAAGCACTGAGCCCCCAAATCAACTTTTTCACTGGAAATCACAAGAATCTTGTAAGAATTTTAAGGCTTACTCTTTCTGAAACAGAGATTCTTAAATTCAGGTACAATAGAAGAAGAATTGTTTCATAGTGTGTAAAGTGACATGTTCATAGATAGGTACCTCCTGAATGGTGGTTTCAAATATTAAATGATGATTATCCAGAGCTCCAAGGCACTGATTCTTTGAAAGGGCTTTCAATATTGTGGGAGTAGAATGACAGGATGCTGATTGCAGCTGATTAATACTGAGCTACTAATCTGTACAGTCTTTTGTTCTTGAACAAATAGTATAAATTAAGTCCCGTGAAAGAAGGAGCCATCCTTAAATTTGGGGCCAATAGAGAGTCTGGTTGACTAGGAACTTGCTCCACCGTGCTCCCTGCTTTTCCTTCCTTAAGCATCTCCCAGCCTCAGAGATACACTCCAGCTTTCTTCCAACAGCCTACAGGGGGAATTTATTGTGTATGCACTGTATGCAGGCTGTAGGAGACATCCATATCGCAAAAAGCATAGGATATAATGAGGTAAGATAAGCAATGTGTTAGAAGAAGGAATTAGAATTACCTTTGTTTATTGTTTATACAGACAGCATATGATGCACCCCCTCTCATTAAAAAAGTGGAAGAATAATAAAATGTTTACACTTACAGAGTCCTAGGGTAATATTGTAACTCTTTCTACCCTTTCTGTACCTCTTAGTTCAACTAATGATATCTTGGAGATCACAGGTAAAACAGTAATTTGTACAAGAAAAAGAACAATCCCCAATATGACTGTACCACAGCTTGAACTTTTAATTTTTGTTTTTACAAAAGCATCAGTCAGCTACACAATCCCTCTGCATTTTTCTCCCCTCTAAAGGTCAGATGCCACTTCCTCTTCATTATGTTTTTTAGCTTTTATGCAAGCAGCTTCTGCTTGAAAATTTTCATGTATCACTCATACATCTGTAGGGCAAAACATCTGTCCTAGGCATCTATCACCTGCTTGCAGCTGACACATAGTTGTAAATGTGATCTATTTCATATTAACAATCAATTTCTTTTCATTGTCACCGCCAGGATATGTTCTACCATTTCACTTGTCAGAAGTGTAGACTTAAGGGTCAGATTGAAAATTCTTTGAAGATAAGAGGATGATTGTTTGATTCTATGGATCACTGAATTCTGTCAATTTTATTTTAATGCTGTGGAAAAATACCCAAACATTGCTTCCCGTCAGAGAATAATAGAACACAGCCATACTTGAGTATCAAACTTATTATGCAATCTTGGTAAAATTGTTTCTACAATGCAAAGAGTGTTATATGAATCTCATAAATTTCAAGGCATAATAGCATGTTCTTTGTGGGATTTCAGTGCTTTGTGTCTTTTATATTACTTGAATTATGGTGTTGAATTGTGGAAAAATTAATTTAAAAAATGCATTTTAAAGAGAGATATACTCCTGCATGTTACAGAAATATGTGTTATGCAAAAGAAATAGAATGCATAAACCTACCATGTTCCTGACATCTATCTGAATTGTTGAGCAAAACAGTCTGTGTTCACATTTTAGGAGACACAATAATTCACCGAAAGGTGCAATCTGTCTTTGGAGAACCTACAGGTTTGTCACTGAATTTCATTATCAATACGAGGCATTTTGTGTAGAAAAAAGTGCCTTGAAGAGAACTGTCTGTAAGAAGAGGAGGATAATCTCCAGAATAAAGATGCTTCTCTCTGTTATGAAGTCCTCAACAGCTGATCAGATTTAGCTGTAGCATGTATTGGATTTGAATTTATTTTTATTTTGGAATTTTAAATTTCTCTTCTCTCCTCTACTTCCCCCCCCTCCCCTGACATCAATTCCTCTCATAGTAGTTGAGAATAATTTTTAGTACTTATTGCAGATTTATTTGAACACAAGTGTTGTAGAAAATCAGTCCGCCATATTGTTTGCCTTATTTGAACTACTTATTTTCCTTCTGCTTTATTCTGTGTAGATAAATGTGCACAAGGTAATTTGGAGTATATTTTTCTCATGGTAAAATCTGTACTGGTTTAATGTTGTTGTCTGGGACGTGAGAGATCTAGTTGGGTCTAGTTGGTATTTTTTCAAAGAAAAGTGGAAACTGAAAAAATCGTGTTGCTAGAACAGCAAAAAAATTACCTGAGAAGATTCTCATACAGAGAAATTTTAGGGCTTGAGAAATACTCTTCCCATTCTTCTCCTCTATTCCTTGTGCAACACAGATATAGCCTAACACGATTTCTCAAGCTGTGTGCTGCCTTCATGATTTGTTCCGCCATGTTCCACTGGACTTCTCACGGGCTAATGTACCATTCAGTGTGAGTTAGCACACCAGAAACTTATCCTAAACAGAAATATTATTCTTAGGTTTGGCTGTCCTTTTGCTGGAAAATCTGAATTTGAAGCTTCTGAAGTAATCTTTAACGTTGTTGTGAAGTATAAAAATGTGCATTGCTCCCCACTTCTGAGAGTATTGAGACATAGTTACTAGAGTGTTGGTCTGGAAGTATCATACTCTTAGTTTATAGTTCTTTTTAGCTTTGGCCTTGAGAAGATCTCATGAATCACTTTGTTTTCAGTTCTGTGAATTCGTCTTAAAATTTTGAAACAATAAACAGTGTGGCAAAGGACAGTACATTTGAGAGACAAAACAAAAGAAGAAAAAAGCTAACAGTGGTGGAAGCAGCAGAGAGTCACGGAAGTGTTTCATCAGTAATGACATGAGAAAAAATGCCTAACACTGTCAACTTTCTGAAATTAAAATAAAGGGAAGAAAATACTTCTAAACCTATAAGATGTATTGAAAAGTCTTTTTAGGCCACTTGCAGATATGCTGAACTTCCTAGATCTACTGTGAAAAGAGAGGCAGACACCTGGAGAGCTAAGAGAACCAGAATACCTTATGTTTCTACACTTGCATTACTGTACATTTGGCTTTTTAATTGATTAAAAGCTTATTTGTGTTTCTGACCTGAAGACCTCAGAGCAGACACCATGCTGTATGAATTAGTAACATTAATATATATTTGAAATCAAAATTTGTATAGGAGACTGAGATAATTATTTCTGAAGAATCGGAGAGAAAGTTTCTGTGAAATGATTTTGAGTATCTATTGAGCTTTCATTAGCATTTTCTTGCACCTTTAGTCTAAGGCACAACAGAATTATCTTGAATTGCAAATGTCCAGGCTAGTGAATTTTAGTAGTGAGAGACTCCCTCTGTCTGAAACAAGAGCTATCAACTGTCTGGACACAATTCTGAAGAGTTTATGCTCTTGTCTGAGAGGTACTTCATGTTTGCATGGGACAGTTTGGAGAAACTGAAGAGGACTGTATTCTTTTTGAGGAAAGACATCATCCATTGTGCTGTACACTTACAACATATCCACAGTGTGAAAGCAGATTAATAGGACATAGGGGTGAAAAGAAAAAATTCAGACCATGATGAGAGTGGTATGTCTTTGCTATTGCTAATCCCTGTATAATAGAATATTTTATGTTCAGTGTGGGCTACAGGCCTTTCTTCTAAAGCTGAAACAACAGTTAATTCTTCTCAAAATGAAAATGTTCCTAATCAGTACTTGTTTTGCATTTCAATGTTTTTGCAGCTATGAGAGCAGTATAACTGCAATGGTTGGCTGAAGTTATTTTTCTTTTATAAGGCAGAATAAATCATGATCTTTTTTTTAACACATTCATTGAAGAATTTGCTTAAATCTAACAAAAAGTTGTGATCAGTCATATATATTTTCCACTATTTTAAATATATAGAATTGAAATCTTTCACCATGATTTACAGTCAAATGAAGTGGACAGTTAATAGGCAATTGTAACTGCCCTTCTTTCCATAGTCCTTGAAAAGGGTAAAGCCAATATCTTAAACTTTATCCATGCAGTAATACATCTTAGAAATGAAGCACAAAATCTGAGGAATAAAGCACTTCTTATCTCATAAAAAGCATTATGTATTGATCTTTACATAGATGTAAATGTCTGCAGTCTTCATATACTATTCCCTATTTCCACTTTGTGCACTGGTATTCTAGTAGCCAGTGTGAAATTCAGGGAAGTGTTAATGTGAATTAAGCATGAAATTATGAGCTGAAAGCAAGTAGTTTGAAGTGCAGTCAGAGTTTATCACCAGGGTGTTTGGTGATATGACAACCTTTTTGTTCTATCTGAAATCTTAATGTGGTTGTTTGAGGGTCTTGGTCTGTAGGTGCAACTAAGAACGCGTCTGCAACTTGCAGTGTGCCGTACAGTGCATGTTTTACCACATCCAGGTGATTTAGTAAAGCTTTGAGATAAAAACAGATTTTCGACTGCCAAGTATTTTGTAAAATTCCTGAATCCACCATGATGTCAGAGCCAACATCATGGGTGACACCCAAGTATAAGTGGATGACCTCTGCTTTCATGTTAGTGTGTGGTTAAATAAATAGCGGGGAAATTTTACCTGATTTATAGGGTCAATCTGGCAGGAGATGTAGCAGCCAATAATACAACAGAGGGCAAAAAGGTAAAAGGGTAAATTTGGAATGAGGTTTAACAAAAGGTTTGTCCTGATGTTTGTAAATCACGTGAATGACTACATGCCTGATACGTTTGCACCTGTGCTGTTGCAAGTGTTGATGCAAATGGGCATGGTCCATTTTCCCATCACGGTTTTAACAGAACCTGGCCAGTCAATGAGGCCCTGCCTCAGCAGATGACAAGAGCTTCCTAGCAACTGCTCAGAGTGGTGCGTAAGTGAGGGACACCTGAAGGAATGAGCCTGTGAATGAAGGAGTTGACATCCATTCAGAATGAAAGACTACAAATGTTACAAGTTTTGTGGTTTTCTTTGCAGACACCACAGAGAGCAGAGTACTGCCCACTAGATTGTAATTCTGATACCATAAGGTCCTTTATGGTGTTGTGTTTGGGGGAGTGTTTATGACTTAGTTTTACGTGTAGCCTCTCTGATGTCTTTGATAAATTGCAGAATAATATTCTGCTATAAAAGGAGGTGTAAACTAGGTACAGTTAGAATAGTACATGCATGTTGTATTATAGCTAAAAGACTGACAAAAAAACCTTAAATCTTTTTTTTAATATTCTTTCTTCTTAAGCCACCTATTTTATCTTAGGCTCTGCATATCACTTCAAAGACAGTCAATGCTAAGATGGTATGCAGTCATCTATCGTATCTATCAGGTATGCAATGGGCCAACATTTTAAAGCTTTTTAAAATTCTGTAAAATCTTTGAGAGAACATTGTTACCAGAAAGCCATGCATACATTACAAGAAGTATTACTGGAGTTCTGCTTCCAGCTCTGGAGCCCTCAGCACAGGACAGACATGGACCTACTGGAGCGGGTGCAGAGGAGGCCGCAAAAAAGATCAGAGGGCTGGAACACCTGTTTCTGCTGTGAGGACAGGCTGAAAGAGTTGGGGATGTTCAGCCTGGAGAAGAGAAGGCTCCAGGGAGACCTTAGACCAGCGTGCCAGTGCCTGAAGGGGCCTACAAGAAAGCTGGAGAGGGACTTTCTACAAGGGCACCTAGGGATAGGACAAGGGGTAACAGCTTTAAATTGAAAGAGGATAGATGTAGATTAGAGATAAGGAATAAATTCTTTACTTTGAGGGTGGTGAGGCACTGGCACAGGTTCATTCAGCTGTTGTGAACCAGACGGGATTCTTCAACATGTATTCCTAGTTTAACTGAAGATGTGTCTGAATGCTTCACTATTAGAATTCAATCAAACAATGTTAGGGTAATTTCATTCATTGTCCTTTTCTCTTTTTCATTCTGTCTTATTCTTTCTCTTACCTTCAGGAAACTCTCTGAAGTGTTCAGACTGTGAATTTGCCGTCTCAGTTGTCTTTGCTCTTTCCTGATGATTTGTGCTCAGAATTGGGTCACATGCAACTTTGCAGTGGTACAATAGTCCTTTTATGTGAGAACCATTCCTCCTCATCTTGCTTCCTCTGCATTTTCATCTGAAGACTATAAATAGAAGGTGCACTGAAAGTAAGGCAAGATTCTTTTCTTTAGCTACGGGTTTCAGGATGGAACATTCATACTACTCTTGCCTAAATCTGCAAAACTATTGCTTCAGGTTCCCTGGTTCTGAAGAACTTAAGCAGAAACTTAAGCTTCAAAGCCCAGATATGACTTGCCCATCACGTATTGTTTTTTTGTGGCAGTGAAGAAACTGGTGTTAAATGATGCCCCAACCTCAGTTTCTGTACAAATATTGTTGCTAACTCTAGAGAACAAACTTACTTTTCCTGTGGCAGCTAAAAGTTTTGAAGTTTATTATCATGTGAGAGGATGGCATATCAGATGAAGCTACAAAGAAATTAATCATAAAGCTGAGACTAGAAGCATACTATTATATTACGATGGCTACGGCCATCTTGTCCAATACATACTTCTGACAGTGACTAGTCCCACGTAAGAAAGTTGCAAGGGAACCCTACAGCAGACAGTCATGGAATGATACACTCAAAAGGGACCATCTGTCCTAACCTCAGGCAAGTAGAGACTAGTTTATATCCTCAACCAGGAAATTTTTATCTGTGATTTTCCCTGTTTAGAAAGATTAAAGTACAAGCTTTTCAACTCTGCTAGAACTCACTTATTCAGTTTTTCTATGGTATTGAAGAGGTGTGAACACTGCATGTGATCTGAAGAGAATGTCAGTGGGAAATCAGAAATAGTAAAAACTACTGAAAACAGCAGTGTGTTTCTGAAGAGTTTGACTACTGCCTTACTTTCTTATTGCAAGGATCAGGCTGAAGAACCAGATGATACATGTCAGGAAAACTAAGACCCTGATCTTATCACTTTGCAACAAGAAATATTGCTGATTTCCCTCTGAATGTTTAAGAAGCTATTGCAAAATATGTCCAACGTAGATCGCTCCTCTAAAAGTCTGGGTACTATCAGGATCAGACTCAGTAATGTCAGCAAGCTGAGACAGGCTTATCTCCAGGAACTTCAGAAATGAGGAATCCTAGAAACCTCAAGAGGTAAGCCAATCTATGAGAAACTCAGATAAACTGTCAAAAATGATGATGTTCAGAGAAGTTGTATAAAGCTTTAGTTAATTGCAAAATTGTGATTGTTCATTTCCAAACCTTTGCAGAGTCATTGCAAATAAAGCTGTGCCTTTTGCTACAAGTATGTTCAATGTTATACCTGTTAAACAAGAGAAGATCGCAGATATACCACGAGGGCAAAAAGGCATAAACACAAGTAAGTCAGTCTCTAAAACATGGCAGTGATCATAT